TTTAACAGGATGACGCCAATGATTATGTGCCTTAAGGGTTTTTTTTGTTTTATATTGTAATGTTGATTGGTTTTAATTGCACTTTTATGAATGCCTGGCATCAAACTGTGCCAATCTGTAACCCGCCCTATGGCTGAGAAAGGTGGGCTATAAATATTGTAAATAAATAATTTTTCCTAGTTTCCAACAGACCTCGCAACCTCTAAGGTCCTATACGGTTCCGCCCCAGCTTACTTATCTGAACGTATCTCCCTCTACGTTCCACCTCGTAGTCTAAGATCTGCTGGGGAGGCCCTGCTCTCGGTCCCAACGGCTTCGCAAACGCGTCTGGAGGGGACAAGGGACAGAGCCTTCTCGGTTGTGACCCCCCACTTGTGGAATTCACTCCCCAGCGAGATTAAATCCCCAGGGCCAGATCAACTACACCGCAGAGTATTGAAGGAACTAGCGGAAGTCATTTCGGAACCATTGGCAACCATCTTTGAGAGTTCTTGGAGAACGGGAGAAGTTCCAGCAGATTGGAGGAGGGCCAATGTGGTCCCAATCTTCAAGAAGGGAAAAAGGATGACCCAAACAACTACCGTCCGGTCAGCCTCACGTCGATAACAGGCAAGATTCTGGAAAAGATTGTTAAGGAAGTGGTCTGCAAACACTTAGAAACAAATGCGGTCATCGTTAATGGATGTATCAAAAACAAGTCATGCCAGACTAATCTGATCTCTTTTTTCGATAGAGTTACAAGCTGGGTAGATGCGGGGAATGCCGTGGATGTAGCGTACCTGGATTTCAGTAAGGCCTTCGACAAGGTCCCCCACGACCTTCTGGCAAGGAAACTAGTCCAATGTGGGCTAGGCAAAACTACGGTGAGGTGGATCTGTAATTGGTTAAATGGACGAACCCAGAGGGTGCTCACCAATGCTTCCTCTTCATCCGGAAAGAAGTGACAAGTGGAGTGCCGCAGGGTTCCGTCCTGGGCCCGGTCCTGTTCAACATCTTTATTAATGACTTAGATGAAGGGTTAGAAGGCAGATCATCAAGTTTGCAGACGACACCAAATTGGGAGGGATAGCCAATACTCCAGAGGACAGGAGCAGGATTCAAAACGATCTTGACAGATTAGAGAGATGGGCCAAAACTAACAAAATGAAGTTCAACAGTGACAAATGCAAGATACTCCACTTTGGCAGGAAAAACGAAATGCAAAGATACAAAATGGGGGATGCCTGGCTCGAGAGCAGTACGTGTGAAAAAGATCTTGGAGTCCTCGTGGACAACAAGTTAACATGAGCCAACAATGTGATGTGGCGGCAAAAAAAGCCAATGGGATTTTGGCCTGCATCAATAGGAGCATAGTGTCTAGATCTAGGGAAGTAATGCTACCCCTCTATTCTGCTTTGGTTAGACCACATCTGGAATATTGTGTTCAATTCTGGGCACCACAATTCAAGAGAGATATTGACAAGCTGGAATGTGTCCAGAGGAGGGCGACTAAAATGATCAAGGGTCTGGAGAACAAGCCCTATGAGGAGCGGCTTAAGGAACTGGGCATGTTTAGCCTGAAGAAGAGAAGGCTGAGAGGAGATATGATAGCCATGTATAAATATGTGAGAGGAAGCCACAGGGAGGAGGGAGCAAGCTTGTTTTCTGCTTCCTTGGAGACTAGGACGCAATGGAACAATGGCTTCAAACTACAAGAAAGGAGATTCCATCTGAACATGAGGAAGAACTTCCTGACTGTGAGAGCCGTTCAGCAGTGGAACTCTCTGCCCCAGAGTATGGTGGAGGCTCCTTCTTTGGAAGCTTTTAAACAGAGGCTGGATGGCCATCTGTCAGGGGTGATTTGAATGCAATATTCCTGCTTCTTGGCAGGGGGTTGGACTGGATGGCCCATGAGGTCTCTTCCAACTCTTTGATTCTATGATTCTTTCCTTCATGGTTATGGAACCAGGCCTTTGGCTAGTGGGCATAGCAGCACTTTGAACATGGAACTGGACTTGATTACTATTAAGATAATTTGGAAATTGATATGTGACTATGTGATTGGGTGATGATAGAAGTAATTGTTACTGTTTTTAACTTTTTATGTATTAATGTTTTATACTGATGCTACTGTTATTGTGGCATCGAATTGCTGCCTATGTTAGCCATTCTGAGTCCCCCTCGGGGGTTGAGAAAGGCGGGGTAAAAATGCTGTAAATAAATAAATATGGATGCCTGCCATAGATGCAGGCGAAACGTTAGGAGAGAATGCTTCTGGAACATGGCCAGACAGCCCAACAAACCTACAACAACCCAGGCTATCTTTAGCTGTAGCTGTTTTTGAAGGCATCTATATAAATAAAAATGTAATGTTCGTTTGTGGGATTAACATAACTCAAAAACCACTGGACGAATTGTTGCCAAATTTGGCCACAAGACATCTACTAACCCAAGGAGTGACCATCACTCAAAAAAAATTGATTTTGTCATTTGAGAGTTGTAGTTGCTGGGATTTATAGTTTACTTACAACCAAAGAGCATTCTGAACTCCACCAGTGATGGAATTGAACCAAACGTGGCACACAGGACTCCCATGACCAACAGAAAACACTAGAGGGGTTTGCTGGTCATTGACCTTGAGTTTGGGAGTTGTAGTTCACCTACATCCAGAGAGCACTGTGGACTCAAACAATGATGGATCTGGACCAAACTTGGCATGGATATTCCATATGCCCAAATATGAACACAGATGGACTTTGGGGGGAATAGACCTTGACATTTGGGAGTTGTAGTCACTGGGATTTATAGTTCACCTAAAATCAAAGAGTAATGACAGAACTGGGGCCACACAGAACCCCCATACTGAAGGCCATCCAGTCCAACTCCCTTCACCAGGGCAAGAAAACATAATCAAAGCCCTCATGACAAAAAGCCATCCAGCCATAGATATAGATAGATAGATAGATAGATAGATAGATATGATTTACACAGTTGTCAATCATTCTTGTTGCCATAATCTTTTAACTGCAACCCAGCTTTTGCACTTTCTTCTTTCACGTTGGTCAGAAGGCTCCTCAGCTCCTCCTCGCTTTTGTCCATCAAAGTGGTGTCATCTGCATGTCTAAGGTTGTATATGTTTCTTCCAGCAATTCTAACCCCAGCCTTGCATTCCTCAAGCCCTCACATTGCATGATGTGTTCTGTATACAAGTTGAATAGGTTGGGGGAGAGGATACAACCCTGCAGTACGCCTTTCCCAATCTTGAACCAGTCTGTGGGCGGGCTATAAATATTGCAAATAAATAAATAAATAAATAAATAAATTTTCCTAGTTTCCAACAGGCCTCCCAATCTCTGAGGATGCCTGCCATAGATGCAGGCAAAACGTCAGGAGAGAATGCTTCTGGAACATGGCCATACAGCCTGAAAAACAACCCAGGCTATCTTTAGCTGTAGCTCAGTGGCTCTCAACCTGAGGTCCCCAGATGTTTTTGGCCTACAACTCCCAGAAATCCCAGCCAGTCCTTCACTCAAAAAAATTGATTTTGTCATTTGGGAGTTGTAGTTGCTGGGATTTATAGTTCACCTACAATCAAAGAGCATTCTGAACTCCACCAATGATGGAATTGAGCCAAACTTGGCACACCGTTCTCCCATGACCAACAGAAAATACTGGAAGGGTTTGGTGGGCAGTGTCCTTTGGTTTTGGAGTTGTAGTTCACCTACATCCAGAGATCACTGTGCATTCAAACAATGATGGATCTGGACCAAACTCTACACCAGTGGCTCTCAACCTGGGGTCCCCAGATGTTTTTGGCCTACAACTCCCAGAAATCCCAGCCAGTTGACCAGCTGTTAGGATTTCTAAGCTTTCCTTTCTTCTCATGATATGGCCACAGTACTTCACCTTGGCCTCTACTATCCTTCCCTCCAATGAGCAGTCAGGCTTTATTTTTTGAAGTTTGCAGACGACACCAAATTGGGAGGGATAGCCAATACTCCAGAGGACAGGAGCAGGATTCAAAACGATCTTGACAGATTAGAGAGATGGGCCAAAACTAACAAAATGAAGTTCAACAGGGACAAATGCAAGATACTCCACTTTGGCAGGAAAAACAAATGCAAAGATACAGAATGGGGGACGATGCCCGGCTCGAGAGCAGTACGTGTGAAAAAGATCTTGGAGTCCTCGTGGACAACAAGTTAAACATGAGCCAACAATGTGATGTGGCGGCAAAAAAAGCCAATGGGATTTTGGCCTGCATCAATAGGAGCATCTAGGGAAGTAATGCTACCCCTCTATTCTGTTTTGGTTAGACCACATCTGGAATATTGTGTCCAGTTCTGGGCACCACAATTCAAGAGAGATATTGACAAGCTGGAATGTGTCCAGAGGAGAGCGACTAAAATGATCAAGGGTCTGGAGAACAAGCCCTAGGAGGAGAGGCTTAAGGAGCTGGGCATGTTTAGCCTGAAGAAGAGAAGGCTGAGAGGAGATATGATAGCCATGTATAAATATGTGAGAGGAAGCCACAGGGAGGAGGGAGCAAGCTTGTTTTCTGCTTCCCTTTAAGTAAAATGAAATTCCGTTCAGTTATGAAAAAAATCTCATCCCATGAACATGAGGAAGAACTTCCTGACTGTGAGAGCCGTTCAGCAGTGGAACTCTCTGCCCCGGAGTGTGGTGGAGGCTCCTTCTTTGGAAGCTTTTAAACAGAGGCTGGGTGGTCATCTGTCAGGGGTGATTTGAATGCAATATTCCTGCTTCTTGGCAGAATGGGGTTGGACTGGATGGCCCATGAGGTCTCTTCCAACTCTTTGATTCTATGATTCTGGGAGTTGAAGGCCAAAAACATCTGGGGACCCCAGGTTGAGAGCCACTGTGGTAGCTGTTTCTGAAGGCATGGAGAAACAGATGTGGTGTCATCAGCATACCTATGACATCGCACCCCATGCTTACTGATGATCTCTCTCAGTGGCTTCATGTCAATACTAAAGAGCATTGGGGATAGAATGGCTTCTTGTGGGACAACACATCACAACAACACACCCCAGGCGCCTTAGGCCAAGTCGCCCCTCAAAGGCCGGAAGCGGGACTCGAACTCGCGGGATTCACGGCCTAGGCCACGCTTCTCCTCAAAAGACTCACCGTGGAGGTCCGGCCGGAAGTCGCACTCGCAGGAAGCGGAGAAGCTGCAGTACCAGGCGCTCAGCCCCCAGGGGGCGCTCGAACCCACCAGCCCCAGCAGAGGCAGAAACAGCAGAAGAGGCCGCGCGAGGGAAGCCCCGCCCCCCGCCATAACAGAGAGAGAAAAAGAGCGCGAGCGAGCGACAGCGCAACCAAGGCCCGCTTGAGACATTCTAGTCAAGTTCCGGCAGTGGAAGGGGCGGGGCCTGAGAGGATGTTTGAGAAGGGGGCGTGGCTTGAGAGGGTGCTTGAAAGGGGCGTGGCCGGAGGAGATGTTTGAGAAAGAGGCGTGGCCTGAGGGGTGTGGCTTAAAAGGGGGTGTGGCCCGAGGGGTGTTTAGAAAGGGGCGTGGCCTGAAGGACAGTTTTGGAAATAGAGGGAGGGGATTTATTTACTACAGAAATATAGTAGTAAATAAATCAGTGCTAAAACTGTACAGTGTTCCCTCACTTATTTATTTATTTATTTATTTATTTACTTTGCTTATATACCGCTGTATCTCAAGCCCGAAGGCGACTCACAGCGGTTCACAAACAGGAAAAACAGTAGAAACAGCAGTGGTTCCATACAACATATAACAATTGACTTAACACATTATCCATAAATTACCAATAAGCAATTACAATGCACAATTATTACAAAAAACAACCGTACCCAATCTTCTCATCATCCAAGCGTAGTCCAGTTCGTCGTCCATTGTTCCATTCCTATGTTCCATTACCAGATTGCACTAAATTACTCAAACGCCTGCACAAACATCCAGGTCTTCACTTTTGCTTAGCTTTCGAGATGGCGCCAGCCTAATGTCTGTAGGAAGGGCGTTCCACAGCCGAGGAGCCACCACCAAGAAGGCCCTATCTCTCGTCCCTGCCAGCCGAGCTTGAGAAGCAGGCGGGATCGAGAGCAGGGCTCTCCCCGGAAGATCTCAAAGTCCTGGTGGGTTCATAGGCAGAGATGCGGTCGGATAGGTAGCTTGGCCTGGAACCGTTTAGGGCTTTAAAGGCCAATGCCAGCACTTTGAATTGAGCCCGGTAGCAGTGGAGTTGGCGCAACAGGGGGGTTGTATGCTCCCTGCGCTCCGCTCCTGTTAAAATCATGGCTGCCGAGTTGGACTAGTTGGAGCTTCCGAGCTGTCTTCAAAGGCAACCCCACGTAGAGAGCGTTGCAGTAGTCTAAACGGATGTAACCAGAGCGTGGACTACCGTGGCCAAGTCAGACTTCCCAAGGTACGGGCGCAGCTGGCGCACAAGCTTTAGCTGTGCAAATGCTCCCCTGGTCACCGCCGAAACCTGGGGTTCCAGGCTCAGCGATGAGTGCAGGGTCACACCCAAGCTGCGAACCTGCATCTTCAGGGGGAGTGCGGCCCCATCCAACACAGGCTGTAACCCTATGCCTGCTCTCGATCCCGCCTGCTTCTCAAGCTCGGCTGGCGGGGACGAGAGATAGGGCCTTCTCGGTGGTGGCTCCTCGGCTATGGAACGCCCTTCCTACGGACATTAGACTAGCACCATCTCTAATGGTATTCCGCAAAAAGGTGAAGACCTGGATGTTTGTGCAGGCGTTTGAGTAATTTAGTGCAATCTGGTAATGGAACATAGGAATGGAACAATGGACGACGAATCTGGACTACGCTTGGATGATGAGAAGATTGGGTACGGTTGTTTTTTGTAATAATTGTGCATTGTAATTGCTTATTGGTAATTTATGGATAATGTGTTAAGTCAATTGTTATATGTTGTATGGAACCACTGCTGTTTCTACTGTTTTTACTGTTTGTGAACCGCTGTGAGTCGCCTTCGGGCTTGGGGTACAGCGGTATATAAGCAAAATAATAAATAAATAAATAAATAAATGACTCCGACCCAGTTTACCTGTTCGAATGGATTCTCCCCTATGAACCATCAAGGCTATTAAGATCTTCCGGGGGGGGGGGGGCTGCTCTCGGTCCCACCACCCTCACAATCACGTTTGGTGGGGACGAGGGACAGGGCCTTCTCGGTGGTGGCTCCCCGGCTTTGGAACTCCCTCCCACTAGAGATTAGATCTGCCCCCTCCCTCCTGACTTTCAGGAAACTAATAAAGACCTGGCTCTGGAACGTGGCATTTGAGGACTGAATCTATAACCTTCGTCCACAAGGAAGGAGGATGATGAACTGTGACTATGACTATGATTGTATTAACGACGTGGCTTGGATAATGTGATGATGATGTTTTTACTGTACTATTTTAATCTGTAATGGTGTTGCACTTTGTTGTTTTGTATATTATTGTATTTGCATATATGTTGTAAATCGACTTGAGTCCCTCGTTTGAGGTGAGAAGGCCGGAATATAAAACTTCTAAATAAAGAAATAAATAAAGAAATAACGAGTGACCATCACTCATTAAAAATACTGAAAAACACAGCAGAAGAGGCTTAAAAAGCCAACCCCCCCCCCAAAATAAATTACAACGCATGCGCAAAACCACATATACATACTCAAACACGTATACATAAATATATACACATACAAAACACATATACACAGACTGGGCCACAGCAACGTGTGGCAGGGGACGGCTAATAATAGATACATTGCCGCTTTGAGTCTCCTGCCGGAGAGATAAGCCGAAGAGCCAGCATTGTCCGTAGACGCCTCCATGGTCATATGGCCGTGGAATGCCGCTACCTTCCTGCCATAGCTGTACCTATTGATCTATTCACATTTGCATGTTTTTGAACTGCTAGGTTGGTAGAAGCTGTGGCTAACATCTGGAGCTCACCCTGCTCCCCAGATTCGAACCAGCGACTTTTTGCTCAGCAAGTTCAGCAGCTCAGCGGTTTAACCCACTGCTGTACCTATTGATCTATTCACATTTGCATGTTTTTGAACTGCTAGGTTGGTAGAAGCTGTGGCTAACATCTGGAGCTCCCCCCGCTCCCCAGATTCAAACTGGTGACTTTTTGCTCAGCAAGTTCAGCAGCTCAGTGGTTTAACCCACTGTGCCATCGGAGGCTCGCGGGAGAGATAAAGCAGTGTATAAATAAATATAATAAGAAGAATAAAACTTTCGAAGGAGAAAAAAAGCATAAAAGTCTTTTATTGTACGCCGTAATCAAGAGAAGAAGACACTCCATGGTTTATGTACATCAATTTACAAAAAGGAAAAGTGAAAGAAGATGATGAAGAAGTTGTTATTTACAAAACAATTCCCTTTTGAGTCCACGTGTGTATATACACATTCATATATATATGCACACACATGCACACTTTCGGCCTGAAGAGTTTTATTTACAAGCAGAAGAGGCGCCTAACCTGAAAGAGGGTCAGAACCAAATGAAATGAAAACTTTGGGAAGACCAGTTATGTATTTTGCAAATGCAAAGGGGGAGAAGGAGGGGGAAAGAGGCCACATTGCAGGATCTAAGCCAGCCCTAGGCCAACTTTGGCCCTCCCTCCAGGTGTTTTGGACTCCCAAATCCCAAAATTCCTAATGGCTGGTAGGCTGTTAGGAATTGTGGGAGCTGGAGTCCAAAACACCTGGAGGACCGAAATTTCTGCATCATGCTCTGGACCTGTAAAGCACTTAGAATCATAGAATCGTATGTTAGAAATGGTTGATTGAGAGCACCTGAGTAATGACTGTGAATGTCACGATACCTAAGGGAATGTGGCAATGGCAGAGCCATAACCACGTGAGGGTTATGCCAGCTAGTGTCCCTTAGGTGGCGGCTATATAAGGCGAATGAAAGTATCCATCTTGCTCTCTCCTGTGTGACTCAGTCTGAGTATCTGCCTATGTTCTGTATGTGACTTTTTGATGACTCTGATTGTTTGCAAGTACACGGATCTGCGTATGTTTGTATATTTGTATATATTAAAACCTCCAGATAGAATCATAGAATCAAAGAGTTGGAAAAGACCTCATGGGCCATCCAGTCCAACCCCCTGCCAAGAAGCAGGAATATTGCATTTAAATCACCCCTGACAGATAGCCATCCAGCCTCTGTTTAAAAGCTTCCAAAGAAGGAGCCTCCACCACACTCCCGGGGCAGAGAGTTCCACTGCTGAACGGCTCTCACAGTCAGGAAGTTCTTCCCTTAAATAACCAAGTTTTTGGTATTCAGATTCTGAGGACATGCACTTTAAACTTACTTGTTCCGCGTCCTAGTCTCCAAGGAAGCAGAAAACAAGCTTGCTCCCTCCTCCCTGTGGCTTCCTCTCACATATTTATACATGGCTATCATATCTCCTCTCAGCCTTCTCTTCTTCAGGCTAAACATGCCCAGCTCCTTAAGCCGCTCCTCATAGGGCTTGTTCTCCAGACCCTTTATCAATTTAGTCGCCCTCCTCTGGACACATTCCAGCTTGTCAATATCTCTCTTGAATTGTGGTGCCCAGAATTGGACACAATATTCCAGGTGTGTTCTAACCAAAGCAGAGACTTCCCTAGATCTAGACACTATGCTCCTATTGATGCAGGCCAAAATCCCATTGGCTTTTTTTGCCGCCACATCACATTGTTGGCTCATTTTTAACTTGTTGTCCACGAGGACTCCAAGATCTTTTTCACACGTACTGCTCTCGAGCCAGGCATTTTCCCCCATTCTGTATCTTTGCATTTCGTTTTTCCTGCCAAAGTGGAGTATCTTGCATTTGTCCCTGTTGAACTTCATTTTGTTAGTTTTGGCCCATCTCTCTAATCTGTCAAGATCGTTTTGAATCCTGCTCCTGTCCTCTGGAGTATTGGCTCTCCCTCCCAATTTGGTGTCGTCTGCAAACTTTATGATCCTGCCTTCTAACCCTTCATCTAAGTCATTGATCAGGACCGGGCCCAGGACGGAACCCTGCTGATGGCACTCCACTCGTCACTTCTTTCCAAGATGAAGAGGAAGCATTAGTGAGCACCCTCTGGGTTTGTCCATTTAACCAATTCCTGATCCACCTCACCATAGTTTTGCCTAGCCCACATTGGACTAGTTTCCTTGCCAGAAGGTCATGGGGGACCTTGTCGAAGGCCTTACTGAAATCCAGATTAGCTACCTCCACGGCATTCCCTGCATCTACCCAGCTTGTAACTCCATCGAAAAAAGAGATCAGATTAGTCTGGCATGACTTGTTTTTGATAAATCCATGTTGACTATTAGCGATGACCGCATTTGATATTTAGTTTGAAGCCTGAATCTGTGAGTTTACTAAACAGTGGCAGCTGGACTCTGCTGATAGACGGGCTGAAGCACATGTGTTTGCTGTCAAAAGATGCTGCTATATTTTTTTCTTGCTTCTGGGACTCTTGCTATTCAGATTGCAGTGGTTTGGGAAGGTCATGATTTTGAACTATATCTCTCTTCAAGGACCAGCAAATCCTGCAACATCATAGAATCAGAGTTGGAAGAGGCCACCTAACCCAACCCCTTTCTTCCATGCAGGAAAAGCACAATCAAAGCACCTCCTACGGCCTTCAAGCCTCCAAGGAAGGACTCTGAGGCAGAGAGTTCCACTGCTGAACAGCTCTTCTTACAGCCACCTCATTCTCAGGTGGAATCTCCTTTCCCATCAATTGAACCCATGGCTCCTTTGAGTACTAGTTTCCAGGGCAGCAGAATGGAAGACTTGCTCTCTCTTCCTTATGACATCCCTCCAACTTTATACATGGTGATCATGTCTCAACCTTCTCTTCTGCAGTATAAACAGACCCTCACACAGCTCAGCGAGTGTGCCTTCAAACAGAATTTGTAGGGAAATTGCGAGCAAGGAGGAGCTAGCTATTTCACTGCCAGCTTTGCAGGAGGAAAGCTGACCCACTCTCCACAGTATCATGTTGATTGTCAGTTTCTCAATCTGTATTCTGGCCATATTCTACCTTGGCTCCTCCACTCTTTTGCAACTTGGGAAATTCCTCCTTTGTCTGCCCGAGTCACAACCCGCCCCCAAAAGCGTAGGCTTGTTTCTTTGGCCTCGCACTTCCCTCGCTGGTCTCACTCCGAAGCTCGCATGGCGGGGTTACAGTTCGCTGGAGCGCACAGAGGGCTCCAGTTTGTGGGACAGGGCGGTGAGGACCTTGTGGAACCGCTCGTAGCGCTCGCTCTGGCTGCTCTCGGCCCCTCGGCTGCCCCACAGAAGGCGCAGCTGGAACTCGGTGTGGAAGACCTCCAGGAGCTCTGGTTGTGGCTGGAAACCTGCGACAAAGAAAAGAGCAAAGGAAATCAAGCCTCGGATCCGCTGCCCAACAAGAACACTGTAGTTCAGTGCCAAGAGAAAGGGGACCAAATGACTTACTGTATATACTCGAGTATAAGCCTAGTTTTTCAGCCCCTTTTTTAGGCTGAAAAAAATCGGCTTATACTCGAATCAAGGTTATTTATGATTTTACTCTGCTATTAGTATTATTTTTATTACATTTATTATTTTATTCTATTATTATTATTACATTTGCATTATTTTACTCTATTATTACTTTTATTACATTGATTATTTTACTCGATTATTATTACATTTACATTATTTTATTGTATTATTATATTTATTGCATTTATTATTTTACTCTGTTATTGTTATTATAACATTAATTACTTTATTATTATTATTACTATTTTTCTCAGGAGATGCAGTGGTTCACAGTATCATAGGCTGCTGACAGGTCTATGAAGACAGCTCCTGTGATCTGCTGCCTTGTATAACATCACAAAGGACGACCACCTCACCCGTATCATAGAAAACCTGCTACAAAACAGGAGCTTTTTTGTTGAGTTCCAGGGGCTAGAGAAGCAGATGGCGGAAACAGAAGAACGGCCTGCCTCAGGGGAGCGTGCTTGCTCCATCCATGTTCAACATCTACACAAATGACCAGCCACTGCCAGAAGGGACAGAGAGCTTCATCTATGCTGATGATCGTGCCATCACCGCTCAAGCAGGGAGCTTTGAGATGGTAGAACAGAAGCTCTCCCAAGCTCTAGGTGCTCTTACTGCCTATTACAGGGAAAACCAGCTGATCCCTAATCCATCTAAAACACAGACATGTGCCTTTCATCTCAAGAACAAACAAGCATCCCGAGCTCTGAGGATTATTACCTGGGAAGGAATCCCACTGGAGCATTGCACCCAAATACCTGGGAGG